GGCCTCCTCCCACTTGCGCCTGGTGATCTGAGCCGCCATGTCGGCCGCGGTCCAGGAGCTCAAGTCCTCGTTCAGGGCGATGTAGTCCTGGCCATGGTAGGCGTACTGATCGTATCCCCGGAGGAGAAGGCCTTCTGCGCTCACGTCGCAGCCATACATGTTCTGGAGGGTGTGAGAAACTGCCCCGCCCCCACGGTCAGCCCGCGCCCCGCGGGGACTTCGGCCTACACGGAGAGGACACCGGCCCCACCCCGCGGCTCTTTCCCGGGGTGCCGGTCCCCCCGCAGCGCCCGCAGCCTGGGCTGAACCTCAGTCCTGAGACCGCGGGGGCTCGGGCTGGTCAGCGGGAGGCGGGGAGGGCTCGTGACCTCCGACCCGGCGGCGTCGCTCACCTTCCGAGCTCTGGTTGTAATAGAGGAGCAGCGTCTGTAGGTTCACTCGGTCATTCTGTGCTTGCTCCTTGCAGTTCCGCGTCTCCTGCTCCCAGTACTCGGGCGGCTCCCGCTCCACCCACGGCGCCCGCGGCTCCATCCTGGGGTTCGCGGCGTCGCTGTCGAAGCGCACGAACTGAGCGTCGTCCACGTAGCCGACGGCGATGAATCGAGGCTCCCCGAGGCCGGGCCAGGACACGGCGGTGTAGAAATACCGCAGGGAGTGGGGGCCTGCGGGCGGCGCGGGTGAGAGCCGGGAGCGCGGCGGGAGCGGAGAAGGGGTTCGGCACGCGGGAGACGCAAAGGGGGTCCGAATGACCCCGGCGGCGCCCAGCGAGGGCACCGAGGACGGGTCAGGCGGAGGGGACGGGGACGCGGCTGCCCGGGCCCTGCCCCCCGACGGCGCCCTCACCCCACCGCCACCCCTCGCTCTACCCTGCGGACTCGTGTTGCCCACGGGCCCCAGACTCACCCGCCCAGGTCCCGGTCAGCGCCAGCACCCACGACAGCAGCCGTAGGACGGATCCGGGCGCCATGAGCCCAGCCCCAGAATCCGGGGAGAATCTGAGTGCCGGTAGCTCCGCGGGGGACTTTAGAACCGGAACCCCAGTGACACTGATTGGCTTCTCTAGAACCCCAGAGCCAGTAGCAGCGAGAGCTGGTTGCGCGTCACCAGTGTCCGGGCAGAAGCGGCCGACACAGGTTGGAGAAGAAGTGAAACTGGGGAGACCGGGAATCCCCAGTGCTGAGCTTCCCCACCCAGAGCAGCTCTGGCTCTGAGATGATGAGATCTTGGCCCAGAAACCTGGGACTTTGTCCTGGTCTCTGTCCCCAGGCACCAGCACTCTTTCTCAGCTACTTCTGGCTTTTGCCAAATCAGAGATTCTCAGAGAGTTTG